CAAAATTGATGCAAATAAAAAAAGGTGGAAAAAAGTTGCTTTCATTGTGAAATTTACGTTGTCATGAAGGTTGAACAAATGACACAGAGTATGGCATGGCGAATAATCTACTCCTCAAATTCATTTCTTTACATTTTTTACGTCTTTTTTATTTGATTTTGACAATCTACGACATTGGTACCGTTTTCCAATATTTCTTTTTGCAATTTACGGTAAATATTTGCTCATTTTGAAACTGTTTTGTACCATTTACAGTATGGTTGAAAACCTTTTTTTTAACGGACAAAAATTTCTGCGCGCGAGGATGACATGCGTATAATCAAATCAACATGACCTTAGCTATACTTAAGGGTGAATTGAGTACAATACTTATTATGCCGTTGTGATCAGAGCCTTCTACACCCATAATAAAATATCACAATACAATATTATATATATAATATTGTCTTTATCCTGCTTCCAGCTGTTCCACTCCGGTGCCAGCCTGAACCCTGCCCGCTCCCTCGGTCCAGCCGTCATTGTTGACCAGAACGCCATCTTTACAAACCGCTGGACTGACCACTGGGTAAGTCTACTGCACACTTTATACATGCATAAGGCCACAACAATTTCATTTGTTGGTACTCAGATTTTTTTCAGAAAAAATATGAAGCGACAGGACGAAAAAAATAGGTCTAGGCATCCTATTATAGCCCCAAATGCTACGATAGGAGCCATGAAGTCAACGCAAAAGGCTGGGTTAATATTGAAACAACAAATGTTGAAATTTTATTCAAACCACTGCATTGGTAGATGGAAAAACTGTAACAACTAGAAAGAAAAGGGACTTTCCTCAACTGTTGGAGACAAAATATGAGCATATCTAAGTTGATTCAGAACCAGAATCTTTATTTTTTTTTTGCAAATCAGAAAAAAGGCGAAAAATCCGAGAACCAACAAATTGAATTGGGGTGGCCTAAAGATTCCTTTTCTTCACTTGTGTGTGCCTTTACTTGAACTTGTGCTTAAAGATTTGATTTCGTAACTTGGTATTTTCATTCCATATGTTAACTTTTTCGGATTGAATAAAGACAAATATATACAATAGCTTTGACGAAGCAGAAGAACTTTATTGCGCAACAGATGTAGCGGGTACAGCATATGGCAAAATGATACATACATAGTTTGTGGTGTTAACATACACATATGGTGGTGTTGAGAATATCTAACAGTTCTACTAACTGTAATAGGAATCTGGTCTGCTTCATAAACAATGTATAGCAAAAGAGAGACAGTAATTATACTATTGATATTGTCACCGTGATTTCAAGGTCATATTCACACAAGGTCGTCTGGACAGAAAACTGAAATCCGTTCTTTCAGTGAATGAATTACTCACCACACGTAACTGTCATTTGTATGACCTTGAATGAAATTCACACTGTCAACTTCAAGCTGTTCATTTCAATAAGCAGATTCTCCTAGCCAAACATCTCACTGCCTTATTCTAGTTATATAGAGACTCGCTGTTTAGTTGTAAACCGCTAGATGGCGTTTTGGTACAGTTGAAAACAGTGCGCGTATGCTTCACCAGGTGTACTGGTACTACTGTGTGGTGCCAATCCTCGGTGTAGGCGTGGCCATGTTGTTTAGTTGTAAACCGCTATATGCGTTTTAGTACAGTTAAAAACCGTGCCCGTCTGTTTCACAGGTGTACTGGGTGGGACCGATCCTAGGTGGAGGTGTGGCCGCGCTGCTGTACGAGTTCATCTTCAACCCACTGCGCTACATCGCTGATGACCTGGACATCGTGGACCAAGACGGTAAGATAACATTCCTTATGATTCAATTAGGCCACACCGATTCAATTTTATGGATGACATCCGCGCGTGCATTGATTTTCGCCCGATCTAAAAAAAAAAAAAAGATCACGTATTCCGAGGCTCTGGCCCGGCTTTAGGCCTGGGTGGTGATAACTCTGGTTGACGGCAGCCAGGCTACCGAAGCTCCAAGACTCAAGAACTCAGTACATACGTACAGCAGTGTCGATTCATATATTCCGCAAAAATCCAGCATGTGTCGGCCTGTCGTATACGTCGCTATGTAATGCGCCAAATTCACAATACCAGGTTTCTATTCCTGTTGTTTTGTAGCATTTTAATTTTTGGCCGGATTTTTATTTTTTTCGCCCGCGCGCACTAGTTTGGGGGTTTTCAGAGGATGTCATCCATCAAATTAAATTGGTGTGGCCTTAGTTATATGACAACACCATCATGTTTTACGTCGGGTTATATTTGTGTGGACGCTAGAATGTCTTCACGCTAGAAATTCCTAGCCTCTACCAAGCTTCGAGAAGTGACTGGAAAGAGTAGAAATTGGCCAAACAGAGATATAACATGCCTGGGGAGTTGGTCCGATATAAAGTACAGTTTCTGATAGAGGCTAAGAAATTACACCTATGATTATCATAGTAAAGGTACATTTTCATACCGTACTAAACAGTATCTCATACGGACTAGCCTTGTGGAATTGTAGTTATGTACCAGTGGATGTCATACTTGTACTCTGTACAAAAGTTATGGAATAGCGTTTTGACAAAGCTGCATGCATCCCTGTGGCCTGTTTTAAACCCAGAATAAGCAAAATAAATGAACTAGATTTTGTTGTGACGTAAGTCATTCTTCGGTTCTACCTTTCAACTTCTTTTTTAAGAAAAAACGTACTGATTTTTCTAATATACCCAACTTGGAAAACACATATTTTAACTCTTATCATAGGTGAGCCAGTAACAGCTATCAAATATGTAACATATGGATTTTTTAAAGCTAAAAAATTCTAATTTTGAAATTGTATACTGTTTGAAGAGCTTTTACTATTGACTCTATATCACAATATAATCTGCGCGTATTTTTCGAATTGCATGTAAAATGCAGTTTTCTATTCGCCGTTGTTTTAGGTCCAGACTTACAAGGGGTAAGATACACAGCACTAAATATGTTCAGAACTCGAGTAATTTGCAACGCTCATGAATATTTTCTTCTTATTACAGTTATCGACATCCTGAAGTACCTGGCTCACAAGTACCGTGGTATGTACATGATGGCTGACGCCGAGCCGATTATAGAAGACCGCTACATTGTCGACGCTCCGCGCGCTTCGCTGAAGCCGACCCCGGTCTACCGCAAACCATACTACGTCCGCTCCAACGACGCTCCTTACACCCTTCGCCAGGAGCCCGCTCGTACCCTCCCCGAGCCGACCTACAACATGTACCCCCGCACTGAACCGGCCTACCCGCTTCGTCAGTTGAACGGGGCCGCTCCAATGTAAACCGCTAGAGGGCGTCCATGTATGGTCAAAGATACAGCCTAACTTTGTATCACAAGAAACACCATTCATTTTGTATCCCCATCCATTTTATCCGCTTACCCGCTTCGTCAGTTGAACGGGGCCGCTCCAATGTAAACCGCCAGAGGGCGTCCATGTATGGTCAAAGATACAGCCTAACTTTGCATCACAAGAAATACCATTCATTTTGTATCCCCATCCATTTTATCCGCTTACCCGCTTCGTCAGTTGAATGGGGCCGCTCCAATGTAAACCGCCAGAGGGCGTCCGTGTATGGTCAAAGATACAGTCTAACTTTGTATCACTAGAAACACCAATCATTATGTATCCCCACCCAATTATAAAACAATGAGGAGTTTTAAAATGTTTGAAAATATCTTTAGGTCGCTTTGCATTCTCATATTGTATATTTAACATGGGTTTGACCCTTAGGATACTAACACAAAACGATTACAAAAACTCATGCAAGTTCGATTTTAAATCATGGCGATTTCATGACAATTTTTTTCAGGTTTTGTAAGATTCTTGTATTTTTTAATGAACGGCTTTGACTAAAGAAATGAAAGATATTTACAGGCACATAAACACAATAATTTAATAATTTCCACTAGAAATCAGTAATAATATCTGAATCCATACCGTACTAACATAGTTGTAACGGCGAAGGCTGGCATATAATAGTTTTTCTAATACAATAATATTTCAACATATTGCTTAAGTAACTATGTATTATTAGGCTAAGAATCTAGTTTTATAATGCACTGCTTAGGCGTTCAAATTTATGCTTATATCATTATATTTGCAATATGTAATATGAAGATTAGGGTGAAAAGCAGGGTTATTTAGTAATGTTTCCATATATAATTAGTCAAATGTTTAAAATAAGAGCAACAGCATTTTTGGCAATTGTCGATATGTAGGTTCATACAAGTGTACTTAATAGTGAGAATGAACAGAATGAAGAAAAGACGTATATTTTGAGCGACTAAATGCTGTTGAATAAATTACAATTACTAGTCTTAGAAGATAGGTATATACACATTGTTTCATTTCTTAAACATTTCATGGGGAGAACGTGACATAGTTTTTACACTATGACAATTCCCTATTTTATATCAACAATAACAATAGTGATCAATTCCTGAGATAAAAAAGATTATCTTTACTAAAATATCACAATTAAGTTTTTAAATGGTCATACTAATATTATACACTGTACTTTTACTTTTCCCTTGCTTGTCTTTTATCAATAAAGTATATTTAAAAACACATGGATTTTTTTGTGGTGAATTAATGACAAATGACGTATAGTTATGAATCAGAAAAATAAATTAATCTATACTTAGTAGTATCTGTGTGTGTTGTGCTTATGAGGTCGATCTTGTATTCATTGTTCGACACTCAATAAAACGTATTGAGTTTATTGATAGCAACATGGTTTGAAAATTATAGCCCCAAATGCTACGATAGGAGCCATAAAGTCAACACAGAAAGCTGGGTTAATACTTAAACAATGAATTTTTGAAATCTTAATCAAACCAATGCATTTATAGATGGAAAAACTGTAACAACTAGGAAGAAACTGTAACAACTAGGAAGAAAAGAAATGTATTTTGACCCCTGTAATAGCATTTTTTATTGATTCAGAACCAAAATCGTTTTTTTTAATCAGAAAAAAATGAAGAGGCGAATCTGAGAACCAAGGAATTTAATTCGTGTGGCCTTAGTTCCTTTTAATATACGTTTCTTTTCATACTATGTTCAATAGTTGTTGCCATGCACTGTACCATGCAATAAAATTCTTCATATACAGGAGTATTACCGCAAATTATGTTCTTCGTTATCATCCTATTTCCCATTACACGAGCATACAAAAATCGATGGAGCTGTACAAATGTGAAACGTCAGCAACAGTTAGATGGGCTCTGTATGGATTAATTTGTACCAGGCTGGTAGAGAGAACCATCTGCGTCTTAGTGAGAGAAATATTGTCTATTAATGCCACGGCCCATGTGTGTATGAATATCTAATGAACAAAGAGGCAGTCATATTTAAAGTGCTCATGAGACCAAAATATAACCTTATCTGATTGTACTTTACATAACTAGTATAACCTGGCTAACAGACACGTTTTCAATAAATATGCACGGTTCTCCTGTTACATTCGAAATTTTAATGCCCCGCCTTGGGAAAGTCAGCACAAACCATTACTGGCAGGCGATTTGCATCTCTACATTTTTAATTTACATTTCTGTATTTTTTCCTCAGCTGATGTCACCCAGTGATGAAAGGAAAAAGCACAGAAATGCAAAAATGAAACACAGAGATGGAATTAGAGATGCTTAAGGAGGGCGATTGGGAAGCTTGCTGAAGAGTCTCCAAAAATTGACCCTTGGAAGGCTGTACAAGCTCAGTTTCTCAGTCATCATTGAAACCAACTTCACGTCACTATATTGTATGTATACCTTTCTATATGTTATGTATTTTACATACTTTTTTGTGTGTCATTTGGTTTTTAAGTGGATTTTCTTCCTTTCCTATGTGTACGTAGATGTAGTCTCTGTCTTCACCGTCCGCTGAGCTATATGACTGAATTTTAATGACCTGCAGCTTCATATTCGTATTCTTTATTTGTACTCTTTATTTTCGTATTCTTTATTTCATTCGCACAAAACAACAACAACAAAAAAAAAACGATAGAAAGGAAAAACGCAAGAGTGTGCTGGGGGAAGGCAGATATAATTGTGTCTTTTTAAAGCCTTCGCCACAACTAACTTACTTACTTAGTTCCTCCCGTGCAAGGCACATTGGGCAGCAAGTCTTCTCCACTCTGCTCTGTCTTCGGCGAGGGACTCGGCATCCTTCAATGTTATCCCCCTGCTTTCCAGATCTTTTTGAAGGGTACGTCGCCATGTTAGTTTAGGCCTCCCTCTTTTCCGTTTGCCCTCTGGTTTCCAAAACACAGATGTTTTGGCGTGTCGGTCTGAGGTCATCCTGAGGACATGTCCAGCATACCTCATCCTCCTCTCGGTGATGGTGATGCTGAGTGGTTTTGTACCAGTTCTGTGGTATACCTCCTCGTTGGTAATCCTGTCTCTGTATGTTATGTGTAAAATTTTGCGGAGGCATCGTTGTTGGAAGGCATCCAGCTTGTTCCGCATTCTTGTTGTTATCTTCCATGTTTCACATGCATAGAGTGCAGTTGGTATTACTACTGACTGTAGCAGCTTGGTTTTCAGCACTCTGGATATCTTCCCACTGTTCCACACTGGGTTCATCCTTCTGAAGACTGATGCTGCCACAAAACGTAAATATAAAATCAGTAACTAACCTAAAACTATAAATTAAAATGAAAATACATAATATTTAAGTTATCAAACAGAATGATAACAAATAATAATAATTAAGTAAATGCATGACAAAATAAGTTAATGATAACATAATTCAGCGGACTAATTGCTTATCAACAAATGAACTAAACAAAATTTAAAAAAAAGTATTTACTGAGGAAGACCAGAGTGACTAGTCGAAAGCTCTAGGTTAGAGAACTTTTTTGTGTTGGAACTTGAGTTTTAACTCTAAACATGTAACTACTAACACAGATGAACTTCCATAATTGTAAAAAGGTTTATGTAGTAAAAGTGTTTTAGTTTGTTTTTAAAATTAAGAAATGCTGCTATCTATCTTGTACTATCTGCCAAGTGCAATGCCATATTGGCTAAACCAACACTATGAAACACAATTAACCATTATCGATACTTTCATTCACGGTCTATTGTAGTTCTCTCCCGGGGCCATTTTGATCGGATAATATAGTTCTACTTCCCGTAATAGAATTGGCTCCTCAGCAAAAAGGGGCCATTGGTGCCAGAGGCGTCTACTGATTTGTGGTAAATCCAATGAAGTTCTAGTGTGATTTTATTAGCGTGTGTTATAGGAGTATTGAAGGATTGCACATTTGGAGCTGTCAAGGGCAGACTTGTATTTCTGTGACCGCAATTTCATCACACCTGTAAATGATTGACTAGCAAAGTTATGAAGCAAGTTTAAACTGCAATTTCCAACAGAACAAATTGGACTTACCTTTTTTGTTTCACTTGACACTGTAAGAATTTTAGACACTAAACAAGACTATTTCTTGAGAGGGGCGAAGGAAGCCATATACGTCAGGGCCCATCACCCTACATTGAACCGCGACGGGGTCGACATCGTCTACCAGATACCTTTGACCCAGTGTTGACGTCACACTTCAAAGAAGCCACGTGACAAGCTTCACTGGGTCAGTCTACTAAGGAAGACCAGAGTGGCTGGTCGAAAGCTCTAGGTGAGAGATTTTTTTGTGTTGGAACAAGAGTTTTAACTTTTAACATGTAACTACCGACACTCATGAACTTTCATGATAGTAAATTGGACTTGTTCGACTGTACAACTCCAGTATTTGTCAAGGAATGAGCAATCCATCGCTTCCGTGACGTCACGTAGGTAACACAAGCGACTCCGTGAGCAGTGGATCATAGGTTGCAGAAAGTCTGTGGCGCGCCCCGTCTCTGTTGAGGGATGGTTGTAATGCCCTGATGTAGACTAGCAAAGATATTCATTACGTTATTTATTAAATACTTGTAAATGTTATATTTCAAACAAGATTGATGACGAAACAGATTTTATTTCAAATTGCCCCTTCTACGATCATGAAAGAAATGATCTGTTTGACAACACATTCCATCCAAATTTCTTCACGTTCACATAGAAAGGGCTCTACTCTCCTAACACCACAAAACCCACATATTATGTAGAAAAAGTGGGATCATTCGGCTTTCACTGCCTCGAAAAAAAGTGGTTCTATCTAATAAGTTAGAATTTAGAGTCAAAATTAACAACCACCAAAAGCGTCTCGAGTTATGTTCTCCACTAAAATCCAAACATCGTGCATTAAAGAATGATCATGACAGAACAGTCATTTTAGAACTTTAATTTCATGATCTCTACTCACCTAGCAAATATTATTAAGATCAATTTAGATCTTCCCGAGTTATGCTAATCACATACAATCAAGAAATGTATAAAAAAAAAGCCGCTGAAGAAAAATCATGGTGGACCATTTTTGAAACTAACCTTTGCTTCCACAACCGCCACTTACACACCAAATATCATGAAGATTCATCCGAAATTTCCGGAATATTGATCTTGGCATACTTTTGGACCAAAACCACACCCTAGCCCAAACCGAAAAAAATACCCTTCTGATGAAGCCAATTAGACTTGTTACATTGTTACCAA